AATATTAGTTTTAGAACAAAGCTTATGTGCTAGTTTAGGTCACTGCATTAAGCATTCCAAAGGCTCGGTTTCTTTATGTTAGAAACCAGTTTTATAATTCACTGCATGGGGTTCTCTGCTGTTTAGGCTAATGTATATACAATAGCAATGTAGAGGAAAATGGAAAAATAAGGTAAGCGATTTTCTTGTTTGTGAAAAGAGATGAGATGTGAAGTTCTTCAATCATAAAGGCTTGCTCGTTTTGAGCTCACATATAGACAAGCCCATAGAGTGACTTCTGACTCCCTGGAAAATTCATCTTAGAGCCCTTTAAAGACAGCAAGAAAATAGACTCCTCTGCAAAAAAATGGTGGATGTGTGTTTGTGAATAGGAAGGTTTAAGAAAAGGAAAAAATTTGGTAAACTGAAATGTGTAGTATTCACAAAACCTCTGAAATTGAAGTAAGCAGAGAGAAATTAAATGCAGTGAAAATGTGTCAGAACTGTTCTGTCTATTTATTTTACTTTCTATTTACAGAAATGTGCAATGAATTAGTCTATTCAAAAAATTCAGGCTTTTAAATCTGTGTTATGCCCATTTATTGAAATTAGTGACCATTTCTGTAGCTGATTTCTCCTTCCCTTCCAATGGGTCTCGGTGGGATATCTAATACGTCAGTTGCTCCAACGGTGCAGGGAGCAGAGGTACATTGGGAAGGATGTATGTCTGTGTAGCCATTGTCTGTATTGGGCCTCCACTTTCCTGAATAATGCTTGGAAGTGTATGTTGCCTTCGGTGCTCCCTGGCCTCTACCTTTCGTAAGCTCTAAGTAACAAGAACAAAAAATCCCAAACCATGGTGAATAGCGTAGCAGTAATCTTAGGTAAGTAATTATATTTTGTTAGGCTAAAAAAAGTTTCCTTTGTTACTGCTTGACTTGAAATTGTAATGTAGTATATGTACCAATGATTTGTAAACTCTTATCCTAGTATATAAACCTATAATCATTTCACAGTTTGGTTAGTTTGCCTCACTCAGGCTGTGCTGCACTGTTTGTTTTACCAAACTATGTGTGGCTGCTTTCCCACTTGGTCACACATCATTCTGTCTTTGATCCTGGCTTGCTCGGCAGATGGTGGCAGGCTGCACTGCAGATTGCGCTGACATCTTGTTGAACCCAGGACACTTTCTCTTTCCCTGTAGCACTTCTTACAGAGAAAGCAAAAAATGCATAGCAGTTTTGGAAAATTATGGATAACTTAGCTTGCTTTGACTTCCTAAGAGGAAGAAGATCCAGTTGCACTGATCTGGTGTGTTATAGTGGTGGTGGTGGTGGTGTTAGTGATCGTTTTTTTCTGTGCAGATGAACATATGGGTCATAAATTTTTTATTTAATTAAATGGTTCGATTACAGGAGATTGTAGAAGAGCCAGAGTAACAAAAGACTGCATTCATAATACTGCTAGCACTTCCATTTTATCAAATAGTCCAGTCAATGTGAGTTTAGGGGTCCTCTTAATGCCTGAGGAGTTTAAAAAGCTGAGCTCCAGCTTGCAGGATTGCTCTGGACAGAAGGGAGCTGTTGGTGGGTTGGTCTCGGTCTCTCCCTCAGTTACTGAAGTGCTAAGGACTGTGCAGGTTTTCATTGAAACAGTGGCTTGGAGAAGTTACTTTGAAGTCCAGGGATGGGAGGACTGACCTGAAAAATAAAGGTTTGATTCCAGAACTTTCTCAGTGTCTGAAAGACTGCAGCTGAAGTACAGTTTTCTCAGGCTTCCTCATGATGAGTCTTTTGAACCGCAGCATTTCTAAAAGGATATATTGGTTAATTTACATTGAAACTCCATTTGAAAGTCTACAATTAAAGAGAATTCACAATCATTTTATGGACTTAATGATAGATAGTGCAGCATTTACACATTAATTTTGCAATATCATTTGTATCTTTTATCTGGTAATTGTTTTGGACTTCCAAGGCTAACACTTAGGTTACTTTATGATTGTATTACACAATGTGAATGGGAAATATACCAAACTATCAACTGCTCTTATTTCTTAGTAATACCACTATTTCTACCATTACTTCTAAGTGATGCTGGGTTTTGTTCTGTGTCCTAGTGGAAGTTTCATTTCCTTTATCAGTATCATCTGCCTTGTCCTTTCTTGTGTATTAGAAGGTACTAGCTTGACTTTTTTTAGGAAAAAGCAGCACACCAACTTACCTGTCAGACTTCTTACTTGACTGTGATGGCTGTTACCCTGTAGAGGTTTTACAAGTGTATGTCTTTGGAGGGTATGCTTTCTGTCATTCATCCTCTGCTCTCTGTCCCTAATGTCAGTGAAGGAAGGTCTACACCCTATAACTTTAATGATTTCTGGCATATATTTAGAAAATATAATTATTTCAGATCTCTCTCATACTATTCTGGTTTTGATTCATCCTATCTGACAGCTCTGGAAAGACGTCTACCTCCTAAGTAAAATATTGCAAGGAGGATGGTTTCCAGCAATTTTGTTCAAGTCAAATATTTTTTTCCCCACTGTGAGTAACCACCCTGGCCCATAAACAACTGGCAAGGACATTGTCAACACTTACTGAAGTGGTTGCTCACAAGTGAACTGTGTTTTTGTTTCACCCACCATTGGAAGGGACAATCCAAACTTGAATACCACTTCACTATGTTCATCAAAAAAGAACATTGTTGTACATTGGGTTTTCATGAGCCTTCATTTGTCATTTTTGAGTATGATCTCCAGGATCTCCATTTTTATAGACATGTAAATGAACGTCATCTTTTGTCAAGGCAAGGAAGTGAGTTGGTATGAGTATGCCTGAGGGGGTATGAATGAAAAACAGGAGAGCTGCTTCTCATGCAGACCTCTGCTTGCCTTGCAAATGACTTTCTGCAGAGTTCATTCGTTACTGTAGGTGGGATGGGTCTCCCTCTCTCATGCAGTTCAGGTTTGTCTTCTTCAGCTTTGAAACAGTATGATAAGGATCAATGAGGATGTGCTGCTGTATGCTTGGTGGCCTGAGCTACACCAGCTACATAATCAGAAATAGTATCTCTTAAGGAAGAAACAAGAAATATGTTGTGTCCCACCACTTCTCTAATAGATGGCAAAGACATGGTGAGATTGTTAGAAAAGCTCATTTAGATTTTTTTTAGAAAGGAACAACTAAAATGGTAAAAAATACTGATCATTTTAGAACAGCAGCTTGACAAATTTTCAGAATGTATTTCTGCCTGATATTTCATGCAAAACTTCACATTTCTTTCATATGAACTTGTCAAAGAAAACTTGAAATGTCAAAGTCTTTTGATAAAAGATAATTTTAGTTTCAACCTACTATGATTTTAAGAAAATGTTATCAATGATGGTTTATGTTTTATAAAAATCTTACTATTTTTCTTTTTATAAATTGAGTTGCTCCAAATTTTCAGTCTTTCTGTCAGGAAAAGACTTAAATTTAACTGTGTGATTTCCCAGACAAATATTTACTGTTATTATTATGTTCATATCCTGTGTGATACAATGATGAATGCATTAAAAGTAGATTGAACTAGATTAGAATAAGGCAGTATCATTGTAACCTTGTCTTCCTATTAATAAAGAGAAAAATTAATATGTCACACTAGATATCAAAATATGGGGGGTTGTGTTACTTATTGTGCATGAACTAAGAGAAGAAATTGTTGGTCTGTTTACTGCACATGTCAAAGAAACTGCACCGTTTAATATCACAGTGTCTTAAGGCTTGCTAACAAAACCAAGTACAGTTCAAGGGAAAACAGAATTTAGAAATAAATTAAAGAACCAAACCCAAAACTTTCTCTTTCAGTAAATATTTCCTATAACACCAGTACATTGTGATACTAATCATTATCTCATGCCATAACATATTGACTCTGGAAGGATTCACAGTTAGAAAACAAGCAAACATTTCTCCTTGAGAGCATATTTTGTTTAACATATAAAGTCAGTGATGGACTTTTAATCAGAATTCTTGCTTCTTGATGATATAATTGATTTATTACAATGATTCTAGTCAGTTGACCACAGAAGTTAACAAAGTAAAGGAATGCAAACTTCTATTCTGAACATGTCCTCATTTTACATAAGTACTTGGGGAAAAGGATTAATTATGAATCCCTTTCATGCTTTTTTTCCTCTTTTCCTAAAGTGTTTAGTGATTGCTTTGACATACATCTGCCAAACACTTCTTCCTGACTCTGTAGACCATATTTTCAAAAGAAATCTTAACATGTGTCGCCCCAAAGACATTTTGAAGTCATTAGATGTACAAAATCCTTAGTCCAGGTATAAAAATGTGCATGAAAAATTAATAGTGGCATGTGCAAAAAGTGCTAATGAGAACTTTTAGTACCTTATCACGTTGCTGAAATGTAGATGAAAATTAAAAGATCTTTGCAGCCTCACAGGTTAGAGTAGCTTCACACAGTGAGACAATGCTGGCTGGCATGTCTATAGTTTAAAGGAATACAGAACAATATTTTTGTTTCTCATTATCTCTGGCTGGAAGCAGTGGGCTGTGTTTTGCTAGTGCTAGGATAGCACTGGGGACCAGCATTGGTTCAGACATGGAGAACTTTTGGCTGTATGTGTCTGACATTTAGTTTTTGAAGGCTCCAGCATAGTGGGCTGTTGAGATGTTGAGTTTAGGGCAGATCCATCAGGGAAAGTTTTAATTAAGAGTTAGAGTTAGGGGGCATTTTAATACTACTGCAACTTCAAATTCTCCTGGGACTTTGGTCTTCTGTGACTGAATGTTTTAAAGGAAACAGTATGCAATTACTACAAAGAGCTCAGATTAATCACAGCTGTAAGCTGAGTACTACCATGTGTGCGTTTGACTTGGAATATGTCACTGGCAGCTTGGCTTTTAAAGACTTCTTTCACAGTGCTAAATGGATTTTATTTATGGGTATGAGGATGATTATCTATTTACCATCTTCAACTGTTCACCTGATTTTTGTTTGTTTTTCCCCTGCTGCAGACTATGTCAGAGAGCCACAATGATCATGCAAAATAACAGTTCAGCCTCGCCCCTGTTTTCAAATGCGAGCTCCTTCTGGAAGAGAGATTCACATGGACCAGGATTCCTTGATGAAGCAGCATCACTCATTGGCAGCTATGATTTCCCTCAGACCACAGAGAGTTTTCCCTTCTCCACTGTGGAATCAACAAACATGTCCCTGAATTCCACAAGCAAAGACCCTCTGGGTGGACACACTGTCTGGCAAGTAGTTTTGATTGCTTTCCTCACTGGGATCCTTGCACTGGTGACCATTATAGGAAACATCCTAGTGATTGTTGCATTTAAGGTTAACAAACAACTGAAAACAGTCAACAACTACTTTTTGTTGAGTCTTGCCTGTGCAGATTTGATCATCGGTGTCATTTCCATGAATCTTTACACCACATACATCATTATGGACCACTGGGCTTTGGGAAACTTGGCCTGTGATCTTTGGCTCTCTATTGACTATGTCGCCAGTAATGCCTCTGTCATGAATCTCCTTGTCATAAGTTTTGACAGGTATTTTTCCATCACTAGGCCACTTACATACAGAGCCAAACGAACAACCAAAAGGGCTGGGGTGATGATTGGTTTAGCATGGATCATCTCTTTTGTTCTGTGGGCCCCTGCCATCTTGTTCTGGCAGTATTTTGTTGGGGAGAGGACTGTGCCACCTGATGAATGTTTCATCCAGTTTCTAAGTGAACCTATCATCACTTTCGGCACTGCCATAGCTGCCTTTTACTTGCCAGTCACCATTATGAGTATTTTGTATTGGAGGATCTACAAGGAGACTGAAAAACGCACCAAAGAGTTAGCAGGGCTACAGGCTTCAGGCAGTGAAGCAGAGGCAGCACGCTTCGTACACCAGACAGGCAGTTCTCGGAGCTGCAGCAGCTACGAGCTTCAACGGCAGAGCATGAAACGCTCCACCCGAAGGAAATACAGACGCTGCCACTTCTGGCTCACAATGAAGAGCTGGGAACCCAACACAGACCAGGGGGACCAAGAGCACAGCAGCAGTGACAGCTGGAACAACAATGACGCTGCTGCCTCCCTTGAAAATTCAGCCTCCTCTGACGAAGAAGACATCGCTGCAGAGACAAGAGCCATCTATTCAATTGTGCTGAAGCTTCCTGGTCACAGTGCCATCCTCAATTCCACAAAACTACCCTCCTCAGAAGACTTGCATGAGTCAGGGGATGAACTGCAGAAATCTGACACAGAATCAAAGGAAAAGAAACCTAAAAAATTGCACCCTCCAAAAAGTGTTCAGGATGGTGGAAATTTCCAAAAGAGCTTTTCTAAGCTTCCAATTCAGCCAGGGTCAGCAGAGACAACCACAGCTTCTGATGGCATCTCATCAGTGACCAAGACATCTGCAGCCCTGCCCTTGTCCTTCAAGGAAGCTACCCTAGCAAAAAAGTTTGCCTTGAAGACCAGAAGTCAGATCACAAAGCGAAAACGAATGTCACTCATCAAAGAAAAGAAAGCGGCACAGACACTCAGTGCCATTTTGTTTGCCTTCATCATTACCTGGACCCCATATAACATTATGGTTCTGGTGAACACCTTTTGCAAATGTATCCCCAAAACTTTCTGGAACCTGGGGTACTGGCTTTGCTACATCAATAGCACAGTGAACCCCATGTGCTATGCACTGTGTAACAAAACATTCAGAAACACTTTCAAGATGCTACTGCTGTGCCAGTGTGACAAACGAAAACGACGCAAGCAGCAGTATCAGCAAAGGCAGTCCGTCATTTTTCATAAGCGGATCCCTAGGGAGGCTTCATAGAATAGTATTTTTTAAACAATTAAAAAAAGTAACAAAGCGGGATGGGATGGGATGGGATGGGATGGGATGGGATGGGATGGGATGGGACAGGATGGCATAGGATGGGAGAGGATGGTACAGGACAGGACGGAACAGAATGGGAAAGGATAGAAGGGGATGGGACAGGATGGGAAGGGATGGGCTGAGGGGGGAGGGTGGTTCCAGGGTGCTGATTCAAACATTTAAACATCAAGACGTGAAAGCAGCTGCCAGGCTAATGTATCCTTTTAATAAATCCAGTTTAATATAAAAATCAAGTCTGCATTCAGCAAAAACAAACAAACTTCAATGTTTTTACTAAGGAATGAAAGACTTAATAAAGTTTTCCTACAAATTTGAAAGAAGCTGTATAGCAATTATAAACCCATTACTGATCTGCCCAGCTCTGATTATAATCAACTCTGGGATCTCAGGTAAGCACATCTAGCTAGCCAACTCTTCTGTTTCCAAGGAATCCAACAACTTTCAATTCAGATCACGTACAGATGTAGCAAGCTAGCGAAACAGGATTATGAAATTATTTGAGACACTGTATAGGTTGCAAAATTGCTTCTTGTTGTCCAGGTAGAGCTTCCTGTCTACTTCTCTTCTGGTGTATTCTTCATTGTACCCCTAATTCCTGATTGCCAAGTATCTATGTGTGCAGCTCATGTTATATATATGTGTATGTGAGTGTGGATGTATGCATAACATACATTCACACCTCTAAAATACACACATACCAGGAAAGAGGTGATCTATTGCTCTAGGTTTTAAAAAAAAAAAAAAAAAAAGAAAAAAATCAGAAAATCATATGATAAATATATATCTCATTATTTGCCACCTCAAATTCAAGTTTATCTTTGAAAGCAAAACATGGTGTCCACATTTCAGATGGAGAGAACCAAAGTACAGCCTGTGAGCCTAACAGTCTACAGAGTTTTATAATGGGACACATGTCCAGTAAAACCTTAATCTTGAGCACAGTATCTCTCCCCAAAGTGATCACTCCTCTTTAAAAGATACAAAGGTGAAAGGAATTGAAGGCTACATTCAGGGCAGAGTATGAAGTTATCTTTGTAGGGTGTAGGATGACAGGACCCCACATCTGGGCCACACAGTGCTGATGCTCAAAGGGAGGTGCTCAGGAACCAGGTAGGTGTAGCCGTGATCAGGAGCCCCATTTCATGTTCAGGCAGGTGCACAGCTGTCAGGGCACGCATGGACACTGTGACACCTTGTCCTGAGTTGCACCGTGTGGATGCACCACCCTTCTCAGAGCCAGCTCCGATTTGATGCACAGCATCTGTACAGCTTCCAATGAAAAGTTTGAGTTGTAATTTTCTGTCTATACTTGGTGGAGCCTGCCCACTTGCACTGTCTACCCAGGTGATCTTCAGATACAAAGGATTTGTGTAAAAGAAATGCTTTATTTTTGCACATGAAGGATGCTCACTAAAAAGTGTTTCTTTTCCAGAACCTGTTTTAAAAATTATCAGAAGTGCACCTAAATCCGTTTAATGCCACGTTATTCGGTGTTGTGAAAAACGTGATATTGCCAGTTTGTAACCTGGCAAGTTTTGATAAAGAAAATTTTAAAAAGGGCTTTAATATTTATAGCTTAGACATGACCAGTATTTCCTGGTATTTGTGATGTGGTCTGCACCAAGCATGATTTATAAAAGAGATCCCCTGGGGAAAGGATTGTACTTTAAACTATTGTTCTAAATCTGATTTAGTTACATGTTGAAAGATAATTTTGTATTCTCCTTTGAACTGACCAAAACATTTTTTATTGCTTAGACTCTTATTTTGCTGAAAATAAAAGAAAACAAATATCTTCTTTTACAAAGGGGCATCAGTGTTGTGAACACAGAACTGATGTTAAAGCTGCTTTTGTATTCAGTGTGAGATGGTGTTTACAGATGATTTTGACAACAGTGGAAATATATTAAATGGTGTCTGTGTATCTGAACTATTTAATTTTGTGTTATGTTCATATGAAGAAATATTTATACATACTTCACCAAATGTTTTATTTAATGTTGATAAATATTGCTCTTCAGTCTTCAGCTGTAGTGTCCTTTTAAAGTGATTCATGAAGGTCTGCTTGAGAAATGAATAGAGTATACCTAGCTTTCTTGTCACTAAAACAAATACTCCTGACATACAAATCTTTCTTTTGTATGAGTTGTTTAAAATGTCTACCTAATCTTGTAAATGATATTGCAAGTCTACTGCAAGTACAAGTTTAGTGTAAAACATGAAAAAGTTAAAGCTTCATCTATAAGTCACAAACGCATTTTGAGCTAAAGATACCCAGAATTGGTTTAGCAGTTTGGTAGCCATGGATAACCTAAGTCTTATAAGTCACCCATTGTTTCAAAGAAAATTAATGAGCTTTATTTATAGAAAAAAACATATATTTGAAATGTATTCATTACTCAAGTTGACCTAACTAATGTTTTAACATTTAAATATATATCTATATCTCTGTATATTGCCATATTATTATCTTCTGATATCTAGAGTAGTGCTGTGCCCCTAATACACAAAATGTGAGAGCATATAAGGAAACCAGAGTTCATTAGGGAGATTTATGGTATATGAGTATTGATTTTACAATGGGAAACTATTATTTTTAATGAAGTTAAGCTTCCTTGAAAGCAGCTGTCACCACTGTTTACATAATAGGAGGAGTTAAACCCTTGGATTGTTTTAACACAGAAATAAACAAACTGTCTTTTGATGTGTGAACAGGCTTTAAAATGTTATTTACAGGCATCATAAAATGTGTATGTATACACATATTGTAGCATAGATCAATTTAGTTATTATTTATTTAATGGAATATGCACTATAAAATATTAAGAATTTGGCTGTGTTACAAGTACAGTGGGGATCAAATTAATTTGTATTTTATGTGTCTGTGTGTTTGCTTTAAACCCATGCACAAACAAATTTTAGCTATATGCAAAAGTGGATATATTATTTATGAACACAGGCGCACATGATAGGTTGCAGAAGAAGAACAATGCAAGACCAAGAGGTACAATCTGACAGAGCACTACTTTTAAGAAGTACAAATGATGTAATATTTCATCTGTTTTAAGGAAAAACAAGACAGAAACATGATAGAAAGCATCATTCTGAGGGCAGACAAACAGCTCAGTCCCATTAACACTCCTCACACGGAAAGCTGGCTTTTCAGAGACCAGGCATCATCCCCATTAATTGCAATAATATAAGATTAGACTCCATATGAAGAGGATCAAAAAATCAGAGGCAGTAGCCAGACAGGAGCCACTGGGTTGTCTGGAGAAAGCTTTGTAGAATAGACCTAAATCACTGCCAGCCTCTGAACATCTCTAAGAATACAGAATACATTATAAAATATGCTCGGCTTTCTCAATGTAAAATTGTAATAGAAGTCTATTGCTTCTGTACCAATATAGACTGTGAGAAATGTCTGATGCAAAGATCCGAGGACAGGTGTGATGGTGCATGAAGCACTTCATCCTGCGCCAGCATAACACATTTCCTACAAAACTGCGGATCAGTGTGGCACTATTCTAAGGCTAAACAAATATAGGAAAGGCCTAAGCAGTTCCCAGGATCTAAACCTGTGGTTCTAAGTATCCTGAACAATAAATGACCTAAAGGAATCTGGAGGTTTTGTGAGGATACCCACACAGATGTCTGAGGCAGTTGGTGACCTTTCTCAATTATGTACAACTTAAATATCTTATTCTGCTGTCTTGATTATTATATTAATCTGACTTCTTCAGCAAGAATATTCTAAGTCTTCGCTCATTATCAACCTTCTCTATATAAGAAGTGAATACAAGTCCCAAAGTACACTCAGTTTGACTCTACAGAATGCAAACATCAAAGCAAAAGGATTTTTTTTATCTTTTTCTCCTCGTCAGCAGCATCAGTAATTTTGAATACACAGTTATCATCATGCTGCCATATATATGGTAGGGATAGTCATAGAGTATCATGCTAAGTTTTTTATAAACTGCATTTCACTTGCCCTCTTGACCATCTGACTATTTATGCATATCTATTCAAATTTATATTTGAGATCCTACTTGTTCTCCTCCCAATGGCTCCCAGATTCTTTTCAGAAAATGTGCTTTACAAGCTTGTCTTGGTATTATGGCTTTTTTCTTTCCTTTCAAAATATTGCTATGCAAAGTTAATCTGCTCTTAGACTATCAGAATACACATTACTAGCTCCAGCAGTTGTAGTGTTGAGGGCTTATTTTCTAAAGATGTATAAGGCTTATCAAAAAGGCCTGGAGAAGGATCCACATATTCCAGGTCCTTATTGGCAGAAATGGTCTGTACCACATGTTGGCTCTGCACCAAGCCTGACCTTCTTTGGAGCATCTGGGAATGAGCTGCCCATAAGGCCGTTCTGCCAAGCCCCCACTTGCTTGAACTGCATCCCGTTCATGAATCATCATGTATTTTAATGTGTTTGAAAATTTCTAAAAACTTACATATTCATTTTGGTAACTGAATGTTCTTCGACCCCTGTAAATCTACTGTCCCTTTTCACAACTTACTTCCAGCTTCTGTGGTTTTCTATTTTATATATTCCTTTTATCTTTTATTTATTTACCCATGCAAATATCACTACACTTGCTTCTGGGAGAAGGTCAAAGTGATATGTATTTGTAGATCACTGCTTGACAACCCAAAGGGTATGTCCAGACATCTTGTGGAGCTGAAGTGTTCGTAATCATGGCTGCCTTTTATGTCTCATGAACTGAACTCTCATGATACCCAAGCACTTCTGTTTGGAAGCTTAGCTAAAGCATGTGTGACATTCAGGTTTTCATAGGATTAAAAAACCTTTCTTATTAGGATATTCTTCCTTGTATCAGGCATAGATCATTTGTAGGTTCTGCGCTTTTCTACTTCTCCTTTTAGGAGCTTGCAGGCAGATATTGGGGAAAATACTGATTTGTAATGTCTGATACATTTGTACTTCAGCTTTTAAAGTAAGCAGACAGGGCTAGATAATCCAATCATGCTATTTGTTGGAAACGAGTATGAATGGGGATGTTTAGAACTATAGACTATGTTTATTCCATTGCATAC